AGAGAGGGGGGGAGGGGGGGGGGATGTTCCCAAGTCTGCTCCTGCTTTCCATCCTGACACTGTGTGCAATGATCCCGGGCACCCCCAGAGCAGCGGCAGGACTCCAAAACTACAGCAGGGGGCTGCAGTGAGGGGGGGGGAGGGGGCGAAATAGCAGACTAGTACACATGATCTGGGTGGCAAAAAATACGGAGAAGTGTAAATGGAAGTAGTCCCTGCCCAGGTAACATTCTTACTGTTCAAGGACAGTACCAGCAGTGATTAATACTATTTACATGTTTGCCCAGGTAAAATCCAGGCACATAATAAGTATCGGTCATGTACACCTTGAGCTAACCCATCCCCCAAAGGAGCCCTACCCACTCTACTACTTGGACCTGAAGCTGCCCTTCAAAATCCAGGACTGTTGGCAAGTATGTTTACATCACATAATCTCTGAATCATAGGCCTGTTTGCTGCCAAAAATTAGAAAGGCCGAGAGTAGCTTTGTTTACTGGGTGGATCCACATACTATTCTATGAGTAATGTCAAAGATTCTTAACTGTCACCCATTGGATGAAGAAATGCATTCCTCAGATTTGTGTTATGATTGTATACAAAACCTAAACCTCACTTTAAAGCTTCTAAATAGAAAGTGCTTAAAGATGCCTCTTTGTGGGTTCACATACCTTTATAGAGCCATAAAGCTTCATGGGCTCCAGTATGCAGAAGTGATGAACCAATAATGCAGGGCCCTGCAAAGAATGTTGATGTATAAGGAGGCAGATTTAGGTGCTTGCTTTACATTTCTGCTTAACATTTAGGAGATGTAAAGGAAACCTCTCAGAAGAGAACCATGGAGGCTCTCATGATTGTTCCCTCTGAAAATGCAAGTTGCATAGTGCTCATAGTTGACCCTCTCTATGGCTTACATATGTTGAATCACTGGTATGGAATAAGTATGCAGATAAGGATTTTTACTTTTCTCTGACTTTCCTAATCTCCATACTTTTCCCAGTCAGTGACTCAGGAAGTATGAAAGCAACCATGTCACTAACAGCAGTAAATGAACAAGAACCAGCCTGTAGAGGAACAAGATCTATACAGATCTTCCAGGTGGGCCATGTCTGCTTAAACATTTGCTGTGTTAC